CCAGTTTGTCTCAAGTGACGTTTGGCTTTAAGCAAAAATGCTTTTTTAAGAGGCAAGGTGCATCCAAGCTGTTCTGTGCATTTTAAGGAAATGTTCTATGTTGGCACTGATTATTTACTCCAGACTTGAGGGTTGCATCCTCTTTCTCTGCTTGTGGCTGAAACGGGTGTTTTTAATTTGCCTGGCATGAGTGGACTTGGGCTCTGGCCTAATAGGTAGTTATCCCTGTTCGTTCCTTGTTAGCAGGAATTAAGGGCTTTCTTGGAACTGACGGGAAGTGCTAAATGACCCTGTCAGAAGCATGTTGGTCTTCTGAAACGTGCTCAGAAATGGGAAGGACTTTTTTTCTTGTTTAGATGACCCATCTAACCTGTTATCTGGGCATTGGTTTAGCTGAAAAAGCTGTAGAATTTTAGGTTAGCCTGGAAAAGATTTTTTAACTGTTTCACAAGGCCAGCTATGATTGGGATTCCCTTGTTTGTGCCTGGTAGTATGGCAGCAAGCTCCAAGCTTGGCCCTGTTCTAAGAAGTTTACAGGTTCAAATAGATTCTAAAACACAGGGAAGCAGATAGCAGTGATACGCATAAAATGATCTCAGTCCTGATTATTTCTGATTCAAGGTGTGTTGTTTCCTAAACCTGATRCCTTCCTTTTACCCTGCCAGATAAAAGGAAGGATGCCTGGTTTTGTTTTACAAGAAAAGCGTTTATTAAACCTTTAAGAATTTCTGAATGGGAAAGCAGAGGTCACAATTGCTTTCAAAATTCTACCCCTGCATAACTTAAATTCATAAGCACATCATCTAGAGTAAAGTGATTGTGAAACTTGTCATCAAATGGGTTTGTGTGTTTTGTTTTGTTACGTTATCACTATTGTTTGCTTCCTTTCAATAGAAGGAGTGCTCTGCCAAATTTTCATATCCAGGACTTTATTGAAGAATGGCCTATAGCCAAGAACTGTGAAGATACCCAGATAGTACTCTGTATCATGTTATAAACTTGCAGTTTCTGCCTAGCTTTAAACCCACTACAGCGTTACAGTTAGGGGGGTGTTTCAGCGATGGAACAGTGTGCTTAACTTGTATATCTCGACCATATGGAAATACAGAGTAGTTGGGTTTTGGAGCGTATTGCGCAGATGAACATTTTGGTGTTTTTGTCTGCTTACTCTGAACATGTATGAACATGTATATTGATGAAATAGATATAATTTTGATGTCATAATTGACAATATGGAGTATCTGCACTTAATAAGCTTATAACTTGCTGTCCTGAGCGTATGTATTGCACTGTGTGTCACTTGTGTTCTCACTCATCTGCTTTCCAAGGTTAGTCTTTCTCCTGTGTTACTGATGTGTCATAAAAAGGATGACACTTTTCCGTTTTTAGACAACATGTTATTCACTCCTTTTGGCATAAGCTGCCTTGATTTATGTTGGCTTATTTGTGTGCAAAGAACTTAAAATTTCTCAGAACATTTAAGTATGCCAGAAAAATGGAGAAAATATGCCTGTGTCTTCTGTGAAAAAGACTTGAGATTTTGTTCCCAACACATGCCATAGGTTCTTTCATTATCTCCATTGTGAGATTAGTAACTCATATGTAGAAAAATCAGTGCTAAATCTGTCTCATTAACACTTGCAAATATTTTCTTCTGATATAAGCATAGTAACACACATTTTCTGGGAAAGTGCTGATTGTAATGTGCTACTGATGGCTATGAATTTGGGCTGGAATCTGTGAAAGAAGTCTGAAAGAAATTCTAGGAAATTTTAAAATAGTGGAAATTAAAATGCAGCCTAAATACTCTCTTCATGCTGTATCTGTACAGCTGGTAGCACAGTATGTTCTGGCTGGGAGAATATAGTAGTTCAAAGAGGAGTGCAAAGGTAAGAGATTAATAAAAGATTAAAGATTAATAAAAACTCTAGTAGTTAAATCAAATTGGTTTAAATCAGCATTCAGCAAACTTTAATCAATTTAAACTTTACTTTGTGCTGAACTTTATAAAAAGTGTGTCTGAAGTTTGCTTTTTTTTTTTTTCTCCCCCTGGCTGAGTAATAACCACTGGGGCATAGTAGTTCTCAGCTATACATAGCATTTGTCTCTATGGGCTTAAACCACATATTAAATATTAAATGTTCCTTTGATTTAAGCAGCTAAATAGCACAGTACAATTCTGTAATTAGTATATTCTTTGTAGCAAATGATTTAATATTTACTCATGATTTGTATCAAACTCTTTTAAGTTTAAAATCGGCTTTCAAAAATGTAGAAAATGTCATTGTAAAAATAATTTCAATTATACCGGATGACTAAGTAGTTAAATGTTGAAAGTTTGTTTTGCATTTCAAACAAACTTTGTTTCAAACAAAGAAAGTACTGTCTAGAGCTGTTCAGCTGAATGCATTTGGAAATCAAAGATTCTTTCTTTGCAAACTTCCATTTCGTTTTCAGGGTTGGTTATTAGTTAATAAAGAACTGAATAAAAAGAAGAAACTGAAGTGGAAAATCATTCTCTGTCCTTACAGGAGAGCTTGCGGCTATCGGAGCTTGGCTTAGCACATTGACAGCTCCAAGCGTTTAGCCGGCGGTGCTCTGCAGCAATCTGCCTTGGGAACTTTGTTGTGCATTTTATCCAACTTTTTAATGCAAGTTTTTAAGTTTTATTAATGATTATAATTTCAAACTTTTTTTTAAGATGTGTTGTCATTGCTGCTAATTAATCCTACTGTTACATGTAAGGATTTGTTTATTTTTGTAGACTTGAGGATTAATCTAGGTTGGAAGGGAGCTGTGAAGGTCATTCCTCTCAAAGCAGGTCCAGTTAGGGCTTGTTCGTCTCCAAGGTGGGAGATTCCTTGGGGCAGCTAAACCACCCTCGTGGTTTCAACACACGCACATGACCATCCGTCAGTGAGGACTTCCTGTGTTCCCACTGGTGGCTGCTGCCTCTTTTCCCGTTACTTGGCATCTTCAGGAGCAGCCTGGCCCATCCTTTCTGTATGTGCCCTGTTCAGTTGCTGTGATTAGTAAAGCAAGAGCCACCAGGATGAGGACACGTCTTCATAGTATAGCTCACGGACTGACAGAAGGGCTGAGGTAGGAAGGGACCTCAGCTGGTTGGAATGAAAGAAGTCCTGATCTTTAGAGGAAAGTCAGGATACCCTCTAGCGGTTATTTCTGGAAATAAATCTGAGCTGTGTGCGGGTTGGGAGGCAGCACCACCTCAGCTGAGTATCAAGCTGCAATTTTAATGGAGTTTTTTAATAGGTTTGGGGAGGAGTGGCTTCTCCCCACCCGCTTCATGTGCCTCTGTCCATGGTTTCAGCAGAATGGATCCTTCTGGGTTGAAACTGTGCTTTAAATGTAGGATGTTGGAGCTTCCTATAGTTCTGTAGCTGTAAGTGGAAATGGAAATAATAAAGCTGTTATCACAGCTCCTGTTGCCTAGGAACCAAAACTCAGCATGTAACCTTAATTGGATAGATTTGATGCATATTGGCTCTCTTTTGTCTTTTTTACAGGTAGTACACACACAAATATGTTTATAGTGTTACAATAGTATGTTTAAATCTAGCTTCTTATACCTTTTGGTGATCCGACAAGCTTCATTATGGTGATTTAAGACCTCACTTAAATTTCACCTAATGAAGATTGATCTAGTTCTTACTTGAAACTTTTCTTTTACAGTTATATGAGTGAGCAAACTGCTCAGTGAGGACATCTGTGCATATAAATCTTACTTTTTTCTGCATATTCTAAAATTTACAAAATTTTACCTGTTAATTTCCTATGCTGTTCTGAGGATAGTCATGCATTTTTCTCTGCAAAATTCACTAAAAAGAGTTCTGGGAGTGAAATATTTGCTTCACTGGAACAACTTATTTATATAAGTACTTATGTCTAGTAATAGAAACTATATTATTAACATTTTCTTCACTTTTTCACATGCTAATATAAAATGAGTTCATTGGACTGTTTTAATCTTGTGTATTTATATGTTTGTTTTATTTCTTTTCTATTAACAGTAGATATTCGAAATGATCTAATATTCAAGACATTATCTTTTTTTTTGGCTGACTATGGTGATAGCCTTGTATAACACTTGGTTATAGTAGATTATTTCTTCAAATTAGGAATTAATGAGTATTTTAAGGAATGTGAGGTGATTTTCAAACAGGCTTCACATATGGCAGGCTGAAGGGGGGGGAAAGCCATAAATATTAGAAATAGAACCAACAAGTGAAGTTTAAAGATATTATAAAGTTGCATCACGTGGTAATTTTTTTCATTTGTTTTAGTTTTTGTCATAATTCTTAGTTCTATTTAAAGGAAAAAAAAGGATGAAGTGTAAACAACAATGGTAGTTCTGTAGAAGCAAAGCAGATAGATGCTTACAGAGATGCTGGAAAGTACTTGCTTCCTCAGGCAGTTGCTAAAATTAAAACTTGCACTGAAGAGCAATAACTTAGCAGTATATTTTGCAATGCCAGTGTAGTAAGAGTTACCTCCTTTCCTTTACCCAGCTCTTCCAGTTCTYGTTCTTTGAGCTTTCTTCTTGCTTCCTTCTTTCTAATTCTCTCCAAGAGATTAAGTGAGAGTAGTGGTTAGTAGTAACAGTGCAGCCATAGTTTCATGGATTTTTTTGCTCCCTTACTCACGCTGCCCTCTGTTTTTTGCTATCCATAAGCAATGCAAGACTCTTCTAGATGTTTAAGTCTTTCTAGTTATCATCTCGTGAAGTTCTGAGTTCCCACTTGAATGTTCTAAAGTAGTCATCTCCTTAAAATAACTGTCAAAGACTCAGAAAAAGAAAGTTCCAAGTCTTGAAATTAYGAGAACTTGCGTTCTGTTTTAGTCTTTTTAGTCTTTCATTTTTTTATGTACTTATTGCACTTTCTGTATTATAACATTGACAGAACATTACTTTCTGTATTATAACATCTGACATAAACTCAGAACTGAAGGGGATACTAAGTGCGTGTTGCTTCTTCCAGGTGCTGCTCCCCGCGGCCGGCCTCTTGCAGCTGCAGGACGTGAAGAGGACTTGCTGTGAGTTCTTGGAATCTCAGCTGCACCCTGTCAATTGCCTGGGCATTCGAGCTTTTGCTGACATGCACGCGTGCTCCGACCTCCTCAGCAAGGCCAACACGTACGCAGGCAAGTGACCTCTAGCAGAGAATATGACTTAGAGGATATTTTTTCCCCTCTAGCTCTCTGCTTACTTTCTTTTTGTACTTAGAACTAACCTTCTATTTCATCCTTAATCAACTCCTATTTTAAGTTTGATGCAGCTGGGTGGTAGGTTTTAAAGCAATGCGTAGTCTATCCTTGCTCCTAAGATGCTCCTATGCTGTGCCCAAGGGCATCAGCTGCTTCCTCGCATTGTGCTGGCTTCATTGATCCCTAGAATTTTGCCAGGCAAGCATAGYGTAGTGCATGAGAGCAGTGTGAAAACAATAGGAGAAATAGCAAAATGTCCTGATACAGGCCCTTGGACAGCTCAAGTCCTGGGGGGAGGTAGGCTGCGACTGCAGGTTCTAGAAACTAGTATGAGAAATAAATTTAAAGAGCAGTGAGAATTTCATCTTTCTAGAGAAAATGGAAAGCACTTAACTTYTCCCAGTCTTCGTGTCTTTACCAGGACTATTTTATATTTAGGAAAAAGAGGGAAAAGGTTACTTGTGTCAGTAAAAAGGGATAGCATAAAGACATATGGATGGAGATGTAGATCAGAATTTACAGTGAGAGTCTGCAGTGGCCTTCCAGTGGGAGTAAAAACCTAGTYTTCATTAAAATTGGAGCTTTGTAGGTGTTCTTGTGGTATTTCAGAATGCAGTCCTGTGCTGGGTCTTGCTGCGTTTGCTTAGGTAGGGAATACAAACAAGGAAAGCTGTCATCTCTTTCTGTTATGAGGAAATATTCCATTCTCAAGTATCATAACTGGAATGCACAGTGTCATCGAGGAGGGTTGAATGAATCCTCTCTGCTGGTACTTCCAGGGGGACTCTTTCTCTGTAACAGGGTGACTGTTCCAGTTCTGAAGCAGAGTAGGATTACCGGAGAGCGTAAGCAGAAATCCAGAAGGATTCCCAAGAATATGCAGTGGGAATGCTGTTAGCAAGCACCCACTCCTACTTTTACTCGCTGATGTGTCTTATCCGGTCTTGGAGAATGTTCATGAGACAAAAATTGTTCCTGAGAATGTGATACATGTTATACTTGTAGTGGTATATTTAACTTTCTGAAGATAGACTGRTGAAGCCTTATAATCAAGGGAAGCGATTTAACTCTTTGAAGGTGCTGAGAAAGRTAGGCAATAGAAAGGCCATATAGAAAGGCTAGACAGAAGKTTTTGGGCCTTCTGAAATGAAATATTCTGGTAGGGTGTGTGTGTATGCTTTTTGTAGWGCTTCGTTATTAAATGTTCATGCTTTTAGGTAGCAGTGTTTTCCTACACTTTAATGCTTCTCAAAGAAGTGGGTTTCCCTCGATGCTGTGGATGTATTGYGGTCACGCTAGGAAGTTCTGCTCGGGCGTGTTGTGCTCTGCAGCCCCACAGCAGGCGAGGAGCCCTGCAGTGCCTGACACGCTGCTTGGTGGCAGCCAGAGGATAATGATGTAGTTCCACCAGCTGTGTGGCCAGCACAGGGTTCGGAAACATTGGATTTCCTGTGGAACAGGAGTCCTTTGATGACCGCTTGCACGCGCTGCTGCATAAAGCTTCTTGGCCTCCAGCGTCACGCTGGGCAGCTGTCAGAGCCTGTGAGCTTGTCATGAAGTCTTACCATAATTAAGATGCATGGATTGCTGTGCTGTACTTAACTGTGGGACATGACAGTTTTGGATTCGAGTACTCGAATCCAAATCCAGTACTGTGCCCAACACTTGAGCCTTGAACTAGATTTGGATATATATAATTTTTTTCTATAGACTAGTCTTGTGTACATTGGTATGCAGGAGATGTATAGGACACAGCAGAATCTTTTTACAATTCTATTTTGAGTAGCAGCTTCTGTTGCTAGGCTGCTGTTACCTTGGCTGCTGGGAACCTCGTGGTGCTCCAGAAAGCAGCTACTTGAGCATAAAATCTGACAACTAAATCCTTGCTTTTTATCTGCTCCTGAAATGCTCACCCTTAACTTGTTGCTGTCGCACTGTAATGTGGTTGGGTCACTGTTYGCACCTTATGTCAGGCTGTTAGCAAAGACCTTGTGTCCCATTATATATATATATATATTTTTTTTAAGCTGGAAAAGTATGAAATGGAGAAATTAGTGGTTTTTTTTTTTTTTTTAAAGGAGTTTAAAAATAGTTCTTGGTGGATATTTTTTCTTTCTTCTTTTGGAGTGATTATCATTGGTCTCTTATGCCAGCCAACCACTTGGGTCTTTTCTAAGTTCCATACTCGGCACCTCTGCAAAATAAAAAGGTATTGATTTAAAAAGAAGTGATGTGTCTGGGAGGTTCTTGCTAAGTTTGTAGTGTTACCATGTCAGAAAGATGCAAGTATTCCAATTGGTTTATAAAAATCTCTTTGATGGAATAGAAACAGTTGGTCCAGAACAGGCAAGAGATATTTGTGAGACTCCAGTTGTTTGCTCRTGATTCTTTGTTTCCCAAGCTAATGAACGTTGCAGTTCTGCAAGGTTGATGTRTTTTTTTTCTTTTTTTAGCTGCAGCGTCTGGTCCTGATAAACTCTGGCCAAATGTTGTCATATATGTTAATGTGGATGTGGGATGGTCTTTGGGAGAAGGTTCATGGAAGTGTACCAAATATTAAATAGTTTTTTGGAAATAGGTGTTAATATATATTGTCATGAACTGCTGGAACACACTGGAAAAATGTTAGAAAATGATTTAGTCAATAATCATGGAATAGAAAGCTAAACTGCCTTGAAGAATAGAGCATTGCCACGGAATAGCGCTCAGAACAGCCACTGTCATAAATCACAAAGTAGATTACAGGTGCTTCTGACACTGGGGTTTTCTGAAAATTTCTTTAAATCTATGAGAAATTAAGTAGAATTTTACCTCTTTATTTATGGGATTTTGAAGGCAGTTAATCCAGAGAAGACCTGACTACAGACATACAAATGTGTGCTTAAAAGTGAATCCACCAATGTTTCCTGCATAAGATGTCCCCTGGTGATATCAAAATGTAGCATTCCTTGCTAGGTAACTAAAACATGCAGGATTAGTGGCAACACTTTTAGGGCCACACACAAGAGGCAGGAGAGCTCCTACCAGCCTCTGTCTGGAGAATAAGCATCTCCAGCATGGAGAGCACCAGTAAGTGGTGATAGCTCCTCTTCCSTGCACATGCTTTCCACTTTCACAGTGATTTTTGTGCTCCAAGCATCAAGTTCCTGGACCTTTTCATATTGCTACGAGTTGCCCCTTCTGTCCTTCTGGTTTGCCCCCAGAGCTAAATCCCATCCCACCAGTACAGGGCAGACGAGGACAGGTCTCTAGCTATTCAAATAGAAACTGTCTTAACCAGTTATGAAGAGAACAGTGATGCCGTTTTGTGGAAAATGTCAAAATCTGCTGTTAGAATGTAATTGGAACAGATATTTTAGAAACTTCCTAAAATGGTATGGATGTGTTTAAAAAGGGGAAAAAAAGTGGAGAGAGAGGTGGTGTTTTGATAATAACGAGGCTAAATCCTGCCCACTTAGGAAGTGCGGATTTGGGAGCCAAGCCCATGCAGTTCCCAAGCCAGTTGGTTTCCAGGCTGCAGGACTCTGGAGCCAGCTGGCTTAGCAAGGTGGCAAGGAGGCAGGATTCCAGAGGGAATTTTAAGTCTCACGCTATGTGGAAAAATGTGATTTGGGAATCAAAAAAAGTAGTTCTGTCCTAAAAAGTTGCAACCAGGCAGTTAGAGCTGTCTGCTMTCTAGGCCTGAGAGATGCCTGTGAGGAGAGAAGTGTCCTGACTTCACCGGGGAATGAAGCAAACACAAGCCAAGCCAGGCAGAGGTTTTGCAGATGACAGATGCGTGAGACGGTTGGTCTTGAAGCCGTGGTCGTGGAGCACTGGATGGGCTGCAAGAGGGATGTCTGTCAGTTTTGCTGAGATTTTCATGCTGCTTGATATCTCAGATTACGTCATGATAAAGGGATATGGAAACTTATTTCTTATTCAAAAGTGGGGGTAAGGATCTAATAATTGAAGATTTAGTCAGTAACATGTGATAATATGAATCCTAACATCTTTAAAACATAGAAGCCAGGAAAGAATAGCTTTGTTCCCCAAAATATGATTATTCTGGTTATTCTGGTCATGATTTTTGAAAGAGGAGGATCTAAAATAGAATTTATGGAGCTTGTGGAAGTTAGTGACACTGAATCACTATTTCAAAGTAAGATGCGGATACCCTTCTTTGGAAGAGGGGCTTGAATTTCATAAACATTTTCACACATCCRATAAAGTAAGTCCTTCTGTCCTGGGCGCTTGAGTAACTTAAGACAAATTATTTAAGTGGCGCTTATGAGTTCCCTTGTTGTTCTGCAGGAGCTCAGGTTCGTTGAGCTGTAATTTCAACTGGCTCCTGACACAAGGGTGCTCCCCAGTCAGTTAAGATGGTCTCCTTGACAACACATCCAAAGAGACAAGTGATTCCACCTTAACCTTTTCCAYAGCTAAAATTTATTCCGCCATCTGCCTCCCTGTTTCTCTGCTTTTGATGATCCGTTTGGATGAAGGTTTGTTTCCAAGTATTGCTTGAGGGCTTCAGCTATTGATTTTGTTTTAATTTTGCCTTTTTTTCACTTTTCATCCATTTGCCTCATTTTACTAAGGTTACATGTTTATTTTTTTGTATTCTGTATACACAGCAGCTGGCGTCCAMTAAAATAGTCTCTTTTAAGTATTTTTATTCTGCTTTTTTTTCTGCTTTTCTTCTACAATTCTTTTCCTGTCCTGAAGGCAAGAGAGAGCCTAACTTCTATTGTATTATTTCAGAAACGTTGACTTTTTAATTAGGGAGTAGATCTCTCCCTCTTCTTTAGAGCATGTCATAAATCTAAATGATTTCCTTTAAAAACAAGGCTTTTTTATATGAGTTTGTAAAATCAACAGGGCATTTGTAGCTTATGAAGTGTACCTTGTCAGATACACTGTTAAACTGGCATTCTTAAGGAAAGATGAACAGGGTTTCTCAAGCTCAGATTTCTTTGAGACTTGGAAGAATTTAGCGTAAATATAATTCTTCCTCTTCCTTCCCAGCTCAGCTTCTTGGCAATCAGACGCGGTTTTATGACTGTCACTTGAAATTTGAAGTAGTTCATAAGATGACTTCAGGTGAATTACCCTTCTCCATTTCTATTAGCCATGTATGAATAGTTTAAAAAGAAAAAAGGTATTTTATTCAATAGGGCTTTGCCTCAAAACTCAAGTTTAWATGAAGATGTTGCAGCTTGGATAGCCAATAGGCCAAGATTTGTAGAAGTGAAAGAGTAATGGTGCTGTTATAGAAATCAATAATGTTCTCTTCCTTTCCCTCCCAGAGGCTGAAATATTGCRGAAATTATTATCTGTCCATTTAGAAAGAATGCTGCAGAACTAGARGGACTTGTAGTGATTATGATTACATGACAGGAGGGACTGGAAAGATGAGGACTGTCTATGTAGAGATGAAAGATAAAAAGGAATATAAAATAATGATGCTGATTAGAGAGGTTTSCTTATCATATTTCAAGATTAAAACGTGGGGCCAGTAATGGAAAACTGTTGGTAAACTGTGTTAAGTTTAGACATGAGGTTTGTTTTTCAAGGAGATTGTAGAATTATTACTATAGCAAGGCATTACAATCACAAAATTAGCGTGTTTAGTGGGGCAGGGCTTTGTAATGATGAAATAATTTGCTTTACAGCAATGAAGTCATTCCAGTGCAATGTAGTAAGGCAGGTAAAACACCATTCTGGCTACCAGGAATCTTTCAGCATTAGAGTGACAGTGCCAGGGAAGGAGGTTTCAATGTTATGTTCGCCTGTCATACGTCTGTGGACTTTGATCTGCAGGGCTGTAAGCTGCATGTTTCAAGGAACAGCGTGCTGAGCTGACAGGGATGCTTGTACAGGTTTATCTTCTCATGCTCTCTAATCYATTAGAACAAAAAAGCCCCTGTGCACGTGTGATGCAAAGCTCATCTACTAAAAATTTAGGCTTGACCTGGAAGATTTAACCTTTTTTTAACTTTTAATAGTTTGTGTGAGGGCTGATGAACTGCAGTAGCCTTGTGTGGTGCTAGAAAAGCCTTTAGGAAATTATGCTGAATATATTTGATAATTCATGTTCTGATTCTGAGCAAGTTCTTAAATTCCCAGTATCAACTGCCCATTTTGATTTCTGTTAATCATAGCCGAAGAGATTAACTGGATGGGGCAACTATTTAAGCAGTTGAATGGTGTAAAAAAAACTTACTAGAGAAGGGAGAAGACAGCTGAATAAGTGGTGGCTTGATATATGCCCTGTGTTGAAAGAGAGAGCCCTGGAACAGGCTGCCCAGGGAGGTTGTGGAGTCGCCATCCCTGGAGGGAGGTCTTCAAAACCCACCTGGATGCCACCCTGTGCCACGCGCTCTGGGTGCATATGCAGGGGGTTGGACTAGATGGTCCCTCTAGAGGTCCCTTCCAACCTCAAGCAGTCAGCGACTCTGAAAGCATCTGGTTCAAATCACTAAATTGTGTTGTGAAGTTTATTCTAAGGCATTAAAAAAATAACCCATGTAACAATGACAGAGCTTCTACAGCTTGTGGAGACTGTGATATATTATTTTCTCACGCTGGTCAGAATATCCCTGACTGGGTAAGTAAGCTCAGAGAGCGGCAGTCGGACACAAAAACTGTTGAGCAGTTTTTTGGTTTGCTCGCATTAGATTGTGAAACTAATGATTTGGCCATTGTTTGTGTTGAACTGCAGGTTTAAAGCATGTTTACTAGCAATAGATAGGGCATATTCTTTTTCGGCATCTTTTTGATGTGTGCTTTTGAATACAAAGCTAGCAAAATGTGAATGAAGTTATTGTTAAGGACAATATTGAGCTAAAGTAATTCGAAAATGTTAAATTGCTCTAACTAATCCCTAGAGTGTAATGTGATTTACATTATTTTAAGGAGCCTTTGAATATAAAAGTTGTGTGTTAGGCAAAGCTTATATAAAATGTTTTAAACTTCTATGAAATATTTTTATTATAAAATGTTTTGAGTTAAAATGCTGCTTCTAGATGTAACAAATACCATGAATATTGAATCAAATTCTTCTTTTTTTTTTCCCCTGTGTTGTTTAATGCATATTTTGGTTACACATAGCACCGTATGTTATAGTACTTTTTTCTTCCAAGCAGAACAGCACTTTTCTGATGTGGTACTTAGTGAAGAATACCTCAATCTCGGTGTCGAGCAGGTGTGCAGTCTGATATCCAGTGACAAACTTACCATTGTCTCAGAAGAGAAGGTAAGATCATCATTTTGGATGAGAGAGAATAAAAGCTTATTCTCACTGYTCTCCTATACTCGTCTGAATCATTTGTTTACTCAGTGAAATTAAATCTATACTGTGCTCTATTTCCTCAAAGGGTGGTCAATTTGATGCTGAAAATTAATCTTAACCCTTAGGAATTCTAAAACTGTTTAAATCACTTAATCCAGTGTTCTTTAAAAGYTAAATTAAATTGAAATCCCTTTTCATCTTTGGGTAGAGCCAACTGAACTCATGCTGAGTCACTTGCGCACGGGTTTGGTTTATCAAGGAAGGAGTAACTCTAAAACAGTAGTATAAAGAGTGAGTACGTGCCACCTACCAACATCATGAGCAGTCTTCATGTTGAAGAACAGATCCCCAGCTCTGTTGATGTRTGTGTATGGGCAGGTGAGACTAACTGGCCAAATGTGGATCGTGAAGGAGATGGCTAGGTAGCCTGTAAAATCAAAATAAGTTGCAGTAGCCTTTGGCTCACCTGTAGCCAGATCTCGTCCTTCTCGAGTCRTTTGTAGAACTCCACGAGCTCCTATGAGCCCCATACCATGGCCTTGAGCCTGCCCTGGCTTGCACACGCAGCCACATTCATTTTGTGCTTATGTAATGTATGTGCAGTTGCTATCACTTAAAAACATGCTGGTTTCTTTTGAAGGAATATATAGTTATTCTAAAACTCCTCGTCCAAGAGGAGGCTAACTCATATTCAAAAACACGTCTGAACAGCAGTTGAGCGGCCAGCTAGTGTTCTGTGTTAAAACTTTCCTGCAGATTGTAGAAACTTTGACCTGAAGAACTATCTGCTTAAACTGCAATGAGTAGTCATGTTGCTATTCCCATAAAACCTTCCCATAAAAAGATCTAGATCTGCCTTGAATACTTACTATACTGTTTCTCCTGAGTGTAATTAAAGTTTTAATGCCCTATGCAAGTAGTTAATTGTGTGCAGTAGAAGAGAAACAAGGCTTAGGGTTGCTTCTTGTAGCAAGACATAGTGAGGTTCATTGAATGACGGTGTGGCAAGTCCAAACTCCAGGACAAGAAGGGGAAAAAAAAAAAAAAAAAAGGAGGATTGTAATCTCTTTACTCTATTTTTTGTTTCCATAGTTTATTGTACCTTCATAATTAATTTTGTCAACACATTTTGTAAGCGTAGTGCTGTTATCCTTGAAACACGAGTAGAGGAAGGATACCAAAAGAGACTGGCTAATGCATCTTTGGAATTTGAGATTGGATAAGTATAAGATTGGGTGAGATGCTGAGATTGGATAAGATAATAATGGGAGCGGTGCTCTTTTTCTCTAATAGGAATTTTAGTCTAAGCCAAAGCTGTGTGTGGAGGCACACTGATACTCTCATACGTGTTAATTTGTAAGCCAAGGGACTCACATTTGTTTGTTTTCTGGAAGGTATTTGAAGCAGTGATAGCGTGGGTAAACCATGACAAAGATGTAAGGCAGGAGCTAATGGCACGCCTGATGGAGCATGTTCGGCTGCCTTTGCTTTCCCGGGAGTATTTAGTTCAGGTAAGCACAAAGGAATACAAGCACTTCTTCCCTCTTATTTGTTTTAATGCCAAACGAGTCATTTTAAAGACCATAAAATAGCCTGTTGCTGATAATAGAAATAAAAACCTGGCGACCTGCCCYGTACGACCAGCGCGTCGCTCGCACCCTCGGTCACGGGAGCCAAGCACGAGGGCAGGCAGCCACGCAGCCATGGCTTGGTCGTGTGCAGGCTCATTGTCAAGCTGTGCCCGCAACCTGAAATTATCGAATTTGCTGGTACCCGGTTAGTTGTCATTTGGAGTATGATCTCTGTTACARCACTGCTTTTCATAAGTGCATTTAAAATTAATACAAAAAAAAGTTGAAAATTACCRACAAAGGAAACCTGGAAGCCTGTTTCTTTACCTGGTTTCTATACCTATGCTATATATTTTATATTTTTAATATAGTTTATTTATATTTTTTATAAGATCGTTTTGAATGTGTTGGTATCAGTTTAAATACTTAACAAAGAAACATCGTTTCACTCCTGACATTAATAGATTTAATAGCATGTTGGTAAGTGCTTATATTAGAAATCTGTGGGGTTTGTTGTGGGTTTTTACTCTTGTAGGGTGGCATACTGGTTCATTAAATTCTTTCCTCCCTCCCCATATTGAGTGCCCTGAGTTTTCAGTATTTGAAAAGTTGAGAAAWGTGCATGACTGTGAGGCAAGTGATCTACTATTTGCCTAACAGTTTTTGAAGATTCTAGAGAATCTACATCTCCTGATTCTTTATTTAAATGATTGCATGTTGCCATCACAATTCTGTGTCTGTTGTTGAACTACGATCTAAAAATTGGGGATCTGCATTTGTTATTGTGATGCAGACTTATTTTACTTTAAGTTGTGATTTGTGTTTTACTTCATTTTTGTGTTTTGCTGCATGCTCAGATCTTGTCAAACTTCTATTAATAAACAGAGAGTTGAGGAAGAAATACTGGTTAAGAACAGCAGTGCTTGTAAAGATTACCTCATTGAAGCTATGAAGTATCACTTGCTGCCAACTGAGCAACGGGCATTGATGAAAAGCACTCGAACAAAACTGAGAACACCCGCCAGTCTTCCCAAGGTAAGACTCTTCCAGTCTGCTTATTTCTTCAAACGTTAGACTTCAGTTTTATTTAACAGATTTGAGGAGGATATGACTATCAACTGATCTGTTCCAGAGGGGAGTAGGAGTAGGGAATCTGCAGGAATTATTCACTAAAAAGATGTAGCAAGCTATTGAATTTTAGATTTATATTATGCTTTGRTATGGATAGGGTGCTCCTGGTTGCTAGAGAGGAAATAGGCCTGGTGGGAATTATGGAATGATGCTTTTGAGTGGAGACATTTCACTTAATTATAGCTAAATATAATCCTTTGATCTCGAAGGAAAAAAATAAAGAAAACAAACACCAGATAGTCTTGCTCTTTTTCTGGTGGTGGGTGGTGTTTTTTGTTATCTTTTTCTAGTGAGCTACAAAAGCTTTCTCAAAGTACCATTGTGGGAGATCTGGAATGATGGAACAGGGAAAACTTAGGTGAACCATTCCTTTGACTTTAGATTTTAGCACTTTTCTTTCAAAGGAGTTAACTAAGCCTGTTCTGTGATGGTCATTCATAGCTCCATTGAATTTTGTAGAATGTGAATTCTCATATACCAGGTCAAAATATGCTCTGAAGAGCCRATAGAATCTGCCTCATTCATGGGAGCTCTTTCTCGATTCTAATTGCCTACTGTTTTTCTACTTCAGATATTTCCACTGAACATACAACTTACAAATTGCATATTTAAAATAAAAAAGAAAGTTTTGACTATTTGCAAGACCCATATTGCATATTTAGGAGAATCATCCTTAATTACTTTTTGTACAGAAGCTTCCTTTATCTTTAGCACTTCTTTCATCTTTCGGGTGCTCTCATGTATGTCAATAGTGAGTGCCTGTTTCTCCCTCCTTTCTAGCTGATGATGGTCGTTGGAGGACAGGCACCAAAAGCTATTCGCAGCGTAGAGTGCTATGACTTTAAAGAAGAGCGCTGGCATCAGGTGGCTGAATTGCCTTCCAGAAGATGTCGAGCAGGTAAATGGCAGCTGGTATTTTGTTGCACTTTGTAATCCTGCAGGACTGAGGTGTCTGCCTAAAGTGTCTGCTTTGGAACACTTGGGAAACTCATCTTGAGAAGGGATTAGAAGGGATAAATCTTAACTTTAGTGGGTGTTATGAAAATTCCAGTTACTCATTTGCTAATCTGGGAGTATACAAAGTAAATAATTTGCTTTTAGCTTGTCCTTCAGTTTCTAATCTATAAAATAATCTGCTTCATTACATCACATAGATAAGTTAATATGTTGATGCATTATAAGAGCATTGTTTTTTATATATTTATATTTATAGTTTAAATACCTCATTATTATTCAATGATATGAAGAATTTGAAGAATCAAGTGCCCACTTGATCCTAAAAATGCAAATTAAAACAACTGAGGTAAAAGCAGGAAGAAATTTAGCAAGCCTAAGCTTCAGAAGTGCAAACTGTTCGTAAGAAGTATCCAAACTTTGTGTTTGGTCAGTGTCCAGTATGGCTGTAGGGAGCTCTTAAAGCCTGCTGGTGTTTTGAGCACTCTGAACGGGCTGGAGCGCGGCGGTAGTCCCGTACGGAATGAAGTGGTTGGTGAGGAGCTGAGCTGTGCTCCGYGCTGCCCTGCCAGGCATGGTGTACATGGGAGGCATGGTTTACGCCGTGGGCGGCTTCAACGGCTCCCTGCGGGTTCGCACCGTGGATTCCTACGATCCCGTGAAGGACCAGTGGACGAGCGTTGCTAACATGCAAGACAGGAGAAGCACCTTGGGAGCTGCTGTGCTGAACGGCCTTCTTTATGCTGTGGGAGGATTCGATGGAAGTACAGGTACCTCCCTTGACCTTTCCATGCTGCTGAAATGATTTGTTTTGACTCCTCTAGACATAATTGTATCGGATTTGAATTCCTCTTTCCTCGTATTGCCATGAAACAAAGCAGGAGGACAGCTTGCATCTTGTGGCATAGGAAGTGCTTTAATGGTCACCTGCTTCTTCTTGGTACCGAGCAGTGGGCTGATTGCTCGGCTGTTAGTAGTTGAGGCCTAATGGCCATCGGAGTGCAAACAGTGCTGTTTGAATCGTGGAAATTCAAACTTTGGTCACACACAGCTCATTCTCGTCGCAGATGCATTAAACCATTTGTGTAGAGATGGTCGTTTTCCATCAGAGTTATTTCTGATGAACATGTGTAGAGAGCATTGGGTGTCGTCATTAAAAAGAACAAACCCAAGGAAGAATTTTTAGTTACACAAAAGCTGTTATTCAGTTGCCTATTTTCCAAATCCAAGAACRTGATGGCGGTAATTGGCTATCTAAATGCCATCTCTTATGTCTTTTACACGGTAATTAACAATTTTTAAAATGCAATAATAATTTCAATTTTGATATAAAACAATTTCTGAGTGGTAGACATTGTATTGTTTCTAGATTTGTGAACACGAGGCRAGGTGTTGCTCCCAGATTTGTAGAGAAAATAATGCCCTCTTGCTTTTATAGGTTTATCATCTGTTGAAGTTTACAACTTAAAGACTAATGAGTGGTTTCATGTAGCTCCAATGAACACAAGAAGAAGTAGCGTGGGCGTAGGTGTTGTTGGAGGTAGGTCCTCGTGCTCTCGGCAAAGTTAGTTCATGGCAGAAATGTTGGGAGATGTATAAACGGTGGAAAAAAATGTATTAAAACAGCATTTCCAAACACTATCAGTGACTTATTGTCATTGGCAGTGAGGTGAAAAATAAGAGGCTGAAAAGTAATCTTTACCCTACTATCTATTTACGTGTTAGAAAAAAGTATTTCAGATTTAGGTTTTTGCTCAACCTTGTAATTCAAATGGTGGCAACAAACCATGTTTTTTCTTTTAGCTAGCTTTTAGCATAGTTTAGCATAGCTTTCAATATTTCTTTTATTACTACCTTATTCATTTTGTGTAATGTGAGATGAAGCATTAAACTGGCTACCCTTCACCTTTGGCATAGCGGTTAGAAGAAATTGCTTTTGCATTAGTGTTTTTAGTGTTTTTAATAAAAGTGTAAGTAGTGTTCTGTAATAGCAATATTTTTTTTCTTTTTTTAAATGGTGAGAGAATCTTAGCTTAGGTTTGCAGGCTACCTACCCTACCTGTTGTAGATTAAATAAAAAGTAAGCCCAAACTGTAGATGTGTCCTTTAGTGTCTAAAAAAGCTGTGGACCAGTCACAACCTGGGGCTCTTGGTGCTCTCGTCTGGGCAAGGTGCTTGAGCGCTGGTGGGAGGTGTYGGAGGCAGCGCTGGTTTATGGGGAGGCCGGAATGTCCGTGCAGAGCCCTGTGTCCCAGAGGCRAAGCCAGGGAAAGCGGCCTGAGCACATGCGCTCTGCCTTGGGCCTAGGGTGCCCGCCTAGGGAAGCGGGAACGTGATCTGGAGAGCTGGGAGTGATGCAGCCCTGAGCACCACGCGGCTTCTGTGGCATGGGGCTGGTCTCCCTGGCGGCCTGCGCCCTCGTACACGGAGCTGGGAAAGCTGCAGGCTTCCCAGGACAACCTGGTGGCTGCGCTGCCATCAGCGTAATGGGAGTCTGGGCCAGCTGCCGGCTCTGGCAGCAGCTCCAGGGGCGGCATTCCCTGTTTCTGCAGGTAAGCTGTACGCCGTGGGCGGCTACGACGGCGCCTCGCGCCAGTGCCTTAGCTCCGTGGAGTGCTATGATGCTAATACCAATGAGTGGAGCTACGTGGCAGAAATGAGCACGAGGCGCAGTGGAGCAGGTGAGTGAACAAGAGTCCGTGCTCGCAGTACGGCCGGAGCAAGTTGGGGGTTTAACGTTCCTTTGAAAAGGTAAGCTAACACCTGAGCCTAATGGGATGCCTCTTAGAGGGCAGATGTATTGCAGGTTATAAATACAAACCCATCCTGTAGAGTAAGGTTCAGTCTCTTAATGGTAAGCATTTTTCCTTTGCTTTTTGTACTCTTCATATTCCCTCTTCTTCCCCAGCTTCTAATATTATTAGCGCAGAGRTTAATATACACCGTCAGTCCAGGTGGTGTCAGCTGAATAGTGAAATGACTRTCAAATCAAGTTGATTTTTACCTGTGAACTGGCAACAGATTTCACCTCTGTGGAGGACTTGTTCTGCCTTCTGGGTTTTTGTAGGAAGTTGTCCTTGTTCATTCTTTWTTTCGTATAGTTGGTTCTGTCCTGCTATTTCCACTTAAGTATCYTTTGTTTCATCTTCAGTAGTTCTTTTCATCACCTGATGTTTACATCCTTTAGATATTTATAGGCTATTATATGTTATTCCTGCTTTATCTTTTAGCCATGGTGTATCTGTTTATTTCTTCATAATCTCAGAAATTCCATTTTATTTTTTTATTAGGATTTTCTTTCTTTCTTCTTGAAACTCTGCACATGTCTCTTTCTCTCCAATAACCTCAAAAGTTCCTGTTCTTGTTTATCCAAACGACGCTTCCACAGCTTCAAAATGACCTTAGCATTTTCATTATCTATTTACACTGTGAACTCAAGTGTCATTTACTGTTCACTGTCCTCTATTTGTCTTTTGGTGTTTCAGGTTTTTTCAACTTGCTGAAGTTGTTTTATTTCTCTAGATGCATTCAGCTGGACTTTTTCAAGTCAAATTGCATGATACTATTTTTCTGCCTTTATTTCTTACCTGTTTCGATCCTTTTTGACATGTACTCAATGGTGCTTTTTAGCACCACCCTTCAAATGCCTATTGGTGATTGCATTAATGTGTCTCGTAATTGGAGGAGATGTTGCTACAGATAAAACTGGATGAATTTCTAGTATGCTCAGTTATCCCAACTTTCCATCTTGCCTTCCATTTATTCTCTGTTTATTAACTCTGCACAGTTTTTAATCTGTGTTAACTGACTTTAAACTCAGTCCAAATTAATTATTTCAGCTGACATTTTTAACAGTTTTAAAGTCATTATTAAAACTAAAACACTCTGTAATACTTCCATTATGCTCATGCAACACTGTTAGGTGGATTTGTCTCATATTGCTAAAAGTAATACTTTAACATTTAACATTTTAAAACTGGAACTGTAAAGTTAATAAAGGAGACATGGTAGGGTGTATTTAATATAGCTGTTTTCTGAAACTTCTATTTATTTAGTTTGTCTATCTTGGAAGTGTGCTGGGTTAAAAAATGGCCAGAGTTTGTAGTAAGGGTACTGTCAAATGCTATTGGCTACTCTTGGCATTTTTGAGGCAAACATTTATATAAAACAAGCAAACTGTTTGAATTGTTACAAAGACAAATCATGTCAAAGGCTTGTGACAAAGCTTCACTTTCCAATCTGCCAGCACACCCATTTTATCTGAGTGTTTAAAAAAAAGAAAATCTGTTTCCGCACACTTCCTTTGTTCCTGTAGCCTGTTAATATGCTAGAAATTTTCAGATTTTTTTGGTGTTGAATTACTTTGAAAAGACAGAAATTTAGTGCTTTAGGCACACAAACTTCTAGAATCCTCCTGCTCCATCTTCCTTTCCCTCACCCAAGAGGTCAGAACCTGGTCTGTTTGCTTGGGTCTCTGCTGCCTTTTGCACTGTCTTCTGTGGAGAGAGAAAAAAAAAAAGGAGGGAGGAGGGTTGTGGATGGAAATAGTGTTTTTTATTTTTCCCCAACATGCTTCAGTGCCGCTCTGTTCTGTAAGTGGGAAATGGTACCTGGGGGAGGAGTGGATGATCATGTTCAAATCGTGGCCATTGAGTGTGACCAAAGCACTTCAGTTGGCCACCAGTCCTACAGCTGTGTCAGGTACTAACCTAAGAGTTGCATTCCTATACTAAATCTATGGATTTCTGGTCATCTCAAGGAACTTAAGCTCATCTCTTCTGTTCCTATTGCTCCAGCTTCATCCAAAAGCAACTTCAGTTTTTCAGTAACCCTCAGTTATTGTTCTTTAGTACCAGCTGCTTCTCGGTTATCAGTGTGGGGAGAGATCTGTTTCCGGCAAGATATTGGGATGAGGAACTTCAAACCCAGATATAGGCCATTTGGGAGGGATGAGAGATGTAAGACAGGGTCCTGACAATGGGCAGGGAAGACAAGTAACAAAGGAGAACTCAGAAGACGGCAACAAGAAGATCCAGACGGAAGGAGCAAGAAATAAGGTAGGACTTGGAAACTGGGTGTGGGTTCAGGGGAAAATGCAGGACCAAAGAGGAACAGAAGACATATGGCAATGTGGCAGATGGAAATATGATGCACGCTAAATATGAGAGTTGGATCTACAGAGGAAGATGGGGTGGGGGAATAAATGATCTGTGAAGCACATTCTTTCACTTACCTGCTTGGTTTGTAGCATATTACATGTTTAAACTAAAGATTGTAGCCTTCCTTCCAGTTCTGTAACGTGCAATGCTACAAAAGACGTAAGTTATATTGCCCTGTCTAATGAAGTGACATCAGAGTGGGAGGGAGACAAGCCGTCACATTATGCTGTGACACGACAGCCAGAAATAATAGCAATCCAACAGGCATTGTATTAACCGAGTCAGATATGGGGAGATGATAGTGAATAACACTGATAAAACATTAGAGAGCATGATCTAACAATCAGTATTAAGATTTTTTTTAAGATTTCTACCACTTAACTCTTCTCTATAATTACTAAAATGTTTTTTTAAATAAGAAAATTTATTTCAGTAAAGGTCAGTTTTCTTCCCCTGTAAGACTAGTCTTTACACACAATCTTAGTGATATGTTTCCAAAGCTGTTTCAGCTGATATTTTAGTTTCTGTTTCTTCATTTTTCTTTTTTCTATTATTATATAGCTTGYTGTTAGGACTCAGCTTATCTTTTGTATTCTTATTTGKTTTWTTTGCTTGCTTTTAATCTTTACTAAAGATTTTGAATTATGCCATTCCCATGTAACTCTTTAAGAACTATATTAGCAAATCTGTATATTATGCTCCAAGTTTCATAATCTTAAATAGGACATATATTAGATCTCCCAGTCTACTTTCATAGTAGTGAATGTTAATGCTCTTGCCCACTAATTGCGAATCTTACTACCCATAATTGCATTTCTGAAATCTGTTGTGCTTAGATTATCATATTACATTATAAAGTGATGGATAAATAACTAGGCCTTCTTTTTAGTTTCCYTAATACCATCTTTTCGATAACATTCAACCTAATTAGCAAGTAAATCCAGACTAGTTTTACATGCTTATAGATGGCTAAACTTTCTTATAAAGTAGTGGAGATGCCAGAAATATTCAYGCTTTTCAGCACCTTTTGGAAATTTTGCTAACTGGAGCTTGGTTCAAGGAAGGGTGATGTTCTCCTCCAGTCCTGGAGGAGGTAGGTGCTCGCTGAAGTTGTTTCTTTACTTTGGTTTTATTTATGTTTATCAGGTATTCTCACACTTTAATGTTCACCCATTCTGCTTCTACTAAGTAGTTTCTGCTTTCTAAAATAGCACTTACGCTTTTTCATCACGTCACGGCTGAGCATACTGTGTCACTTACTGTCACWCCTAATTGGTCCCAAATTTCAGCAGTCTTCATTTTCCTGCACATCACTTTTCTCCCCAAATTTCCCAAATCTTTTGTTGAAGAACAACTCGGGTCTTTGTGTGTTGCTATATAGGAAGCCATGCAAGGCATTTTATCAATGTCTTGCTTGAGTTACCGTCATTTTGCTTTAATGCATCTGACCCAGATATCTTCTCAAATAGTTCCTAACACTGACTGGATGGAAGTTTTATGTTGGCAGACATGCTGTTCACTATCCCCCCCTCTTATCAGTCACACCATTCTCTGGTTAATTTTGAGTATTTTTGTATGTTCACAGGTGTTGGTGTGTTAAACAACTTATTGTATGCAGTAGGTGGTCATGATGGGCCTTTGGTAAGAAAAAGTGTTGAAGTATATGACCCTGCTGCCAGTACGTGGAAGCAAGTTGCAGATATGAACATGTGCCGAAGGAAYGCAGGTGTGTACTATGGCTACGTTAAAATCCTGGAAATGGGGTATTACCATACCAAATCTTAATGGTTTTTAACTGTTCCTGCTTCTTTGTGTCACAGAAGAGAAAGCGTGCTTTCATAGTATAACAGGCAATGTATTTTCTGAATTCATTTCCTTTTTTTTTTTTTATTTTAGGTGTTTGTGCTGTAAATGGTCTCTTGTATGTGGTCGGAGGAGATGATGGTTCCTGTAATTTATCAACAGTGGAATATTATAATCCAACAACTGATAAATGGACAGTTGTGTCATCTTGTATGAGTACAGGAAGAAGTTATGCAGGTAAAGTGCACACTGTCTTAAATAGCCTTTCTGCTGTATGTTAAACAGTAGCATGATAGAATGGAATAGGATGAGAAATTTGACAAAGCATTCCAACAAAATACTGGGAAAGTTAAAAACCTGTGAACGTACTGAAAAAATGTGATGGTTTAAACAGCTTTTCACTGAAAAGAAAAGATGGCATTAAACTCTGCTCATGGCTGATTTAGCAGTTCAGTGGTTGGTGTGAAAGGCAATTCTATTATAACTTGCCTTCTTTTCAGTTAACAGTAAATCTGTATCGTGTCACCATCTGTGGGAGCCCCGCATTGAACTTTGTTGAAAAGATTCAGTATTTAGAAATGTAAAGGTGCTCCAGGGTTCTTTTAATAAATGCAGTTACTCATATGAGTTACTTAAGCCTATGTTACAGCTTTATTTCACTGATGAGAAAAAACAATGAGAAAACTACCTAAGGTTTTATGCCCTTTTTTTTCCCTGTCACTTTAGGTGTAACAGTTATTGACAAACCATTATGATCTGTGAAGGGATTTTCAACTTGATTATGCACTAGAAGCAGTCTTCAAGTATATTTGAAGTGACTGAGTATCTAAGCACTTCTCTACTTGTAGCTGCACCTTGAGTCACAGTGGAAGATGTGGCTGTCTACAATTACAGATGACAGATGATGAAGATTACTCTAGGCAGAAGCAATGTGTAGGATTATTCTGCAGTCGAGCAGGAGGTGATTGATTTTTTAAAGGCTAGTGGACCGTTTTTCTTTGGACTTTTTTTATTATTATTTTCAATTGCAAGGTCTTCAAACAAAAAAAAAAAAGCCACTTTCATAAGGACCAACTCATGTCAGTCATGACTGAGAAATGGATTGTCAGTGAAGAATGGTGTGTATTCTGGTGAAAGTAAATTTTTGTCTTATTTTTTCCAGAGACTAATAGATATATTTAAAGAAATGAGCTGTCAGTCTTCATAATAGATATTTAATCCCACCTCAGTAATTCAAGCTGGCATGGGGTATATTTGTTTGCTTTTATAAAACTTTTGTTACATAATATGTGCATATGTGTGTTGCTTTTCATTAAAGATCTTCAAAATCTGATTTTACTATTTATAATTTGGCACAGTACTTTGAATATGCCAGTACTATGTTGTAAAACAGAGTTGTATTTTTTGATATTTAACAATGTTTAACACTACTAATTTTCACTGAAAGAGCCTGGAGATGGTATAATATTCCTTGAACAGGTGTAATTTCAAGCTTTTCTTTTAATAAAAATGATGTCTGTATGTATGTTTTTTTTTCTTCCATTTGATATTGGTCATATTAGATGTTTTTATCCAAAAGGTGATTTGGCATGAAAATAACTGAAAAATTATAACAAATGTATTGAAGTTGAATTTGCATGGTATTAAGGTCTACTTATGTGTGTAACCTTAGCTGCTATTAGCTAATATCTGAATATACTGTATGTGGCCATGTTTGTGGAGCAGCTCATTTTTATTTCTTCTTAGATAGCCTTCTTTTTACATGACCAAAGTTATTGTCATATTGGAGACTTTCTTTAAATAAAAGTTTATATATTGTTTCATAATGCCAACAAAATTTGCTTAAAACTTGTGTTTCTCAATACAAGTCTCACAAGTAATTTGTGACAATATGTTTTTTTTGGAGGAGAATACTGCTTTAAAGAGCTGAATGCAAGTGAGTTGAAGAGAATTATGATTGAAGTGTAGAAGTGGTAATAGGAATACCACTAGTTGGCTGCTGCTTTGTCTCTGAAAGCTTTGGTCTTCACTTAAGATGTTAGATGTGGCCACTATTTTACTTGTGGGGARAAAGAAAGTATGAGCTGTGAAATTAATATTAGAGCTGAGAACTCGGTTATTGTTAGACTGTTGGTAGAGATGCTAATGTTAAAGGGATGGAGTGTTTTAACTGTGGCTCTTGTATGATGCATCATGAATACAGGCACTTTGTTTTATTTGAAACAGAACAAACTATCCAGCAAAAAACAAGCTTTCTGCCTGCTACAGGACAAGGGGGAGGCACAGCTCCRTGTTTTGATCGTGGTGGTTTGCAGGACACCTGTGTGTAGGTATACGCATAACGAGGAGGGTGCTGCACAGCCCAGGAGCCTGTCCCTGCACTCGTGAGGGAGGAGTCCTGTGCGCAGGGAGCTCGTGTTCGCCCAGGTCAGTATCTGCCCTTGCACACCTGGCCCCTGAGCCGTGCCCGTGCACAGCCCCTGGGTCTGTAGTGCTTGTGTCACTCCTCTCCACCTCCTCCTCCCAGGATCCTGCGGAATTCAGGCAGGATAMGGAAAAACAGGTAACATGGTAGGGAGCGGGGGAGAGGCAGAACAGCCACCGATTTTTCGCGAGAAGGCGGCGGGAAGAAAAAATGCGGCTGCTCTCGCCCCCGCTCCGGGCCGGCCAGCGCAGCGCTCCTGCGCCTGCGCAACGGCCGCTAACGGTCCCCGCAGCGCCATGGCAACGGGCGAGGCCCGCCCCGCCCTCTGCCCACCTCCGTCTCCTCCTCATCACGTCGTCGACGTCACGCGGGCTCCCTCCCGCCTCATTGGCCGCGCGCCGAGGTCTCACTATCCTCACTCCACCCCTCCAGCCAATGGGCGCGCGTCGGCGCCTCGCCGCCTGCCGGCCTGACTCCGCGCCGCCGGCGCCCGCCAGCCAATGAGCGCCGCGCGGGGCGGGGC